CCACTTCTCCTTGGTAATGACACCGGTGCACCTTTTCGATCATAACTTTTGCATCAATGAACCAAATATTTTTTTCTTTGGCTTGTTGGAAAGCTATCGACGAGCTGCTGCCAACAAGCCATAGATCGCCTAATTTTGTGTGGTGGTTTAGGAACTACGATCTTTCAAAGTTCGCTTTTGTTTTTCAAGCTCTCAAAGCCACCCACGCTCGTTTTTTTAACGAGCGCTATTACCACAGGTTGTGGCTAAAGTGGCGCCATATCTTATTGGAAGCGCCTTTCTGAGAGCTTTCCAACAAGTCCTCTTTTGCCTAAATCCTCCCAGTGGATCAAAAGTTATTGGCAAAAAAAAAAGGCTTTTCTCTCTCTCTGTTCTCTCCCTCTCTGCAACTATCTCTAGTGCCATGTGGCAGCGTGCTGAGAGCTTTTGAAGACCCCCCTTGCTAGGCAGGCTGCACTACAGTGGAACTGTGTGGCTTATCAAGATCTTAGTCAACCCCAGATTATTTTTCTTCATCTGCATATTTGATCCTTCCGATCAAAACAAATTGCTGCAGTAGCAGTTCATCACCACCGTGAAGACCCCTTCTCCCAAGGGGTGTGTGAAGGCCAAGATCTTGTGGATCTTAATGATTTTGTCTATTGTTGGCCAACCAAGTGCCTGGTATCACCCCTTACTCACTAGTTTACTCTCTCCCAACCCTTTTCTCTCCCTCGTCTCCACCCTCTAGTCATTTTTTCTAACTCTACCACTACTCTCCTCTCCTTCCCATTGTTCTCTCACACCCCTCCCTCTTCACTCATCTTCCACCGTTTTTTTCTCCCCTTCTCCTTACTCGCTCTCTTCCACTAATCTTTCCTTCTCTTTTCCTCCTTTCCCATCCCTTTCTCTCCCATTCTCTCACCCTCCTGTCCCCCTTCCCTCCCCCAACGACAACCGCATAATCTCCCCATCTCCCACTTCAATTTTTTTCTTCTTCTCACCTATTTCTCTCTTTCTTCATCACTTTTTCATCCTCCCCCCCTTGGCTAGGCACTTCTTCATCACTTTTTCTCACCTAGTTCTTTCTCTCTGCTCTCTCCCTCTCTGCGGCCATCTCTAGTGCCACGTGGCAGCTTGCTGAGAGCTTTTCGAACACCCCCCAGGCTAGGCAGGCTGCACTACAGTGGAACTGGGTGGCTGATCAAGATCTCAGCCAACCCCGGATTATGTTTCTTCATCTACATATCTGATCCTTCCGATCAGATCCAATTGCTGCAGTAGCAGTTCATCACCACCTTGAAGACCCCTTCTCCCAAGGGTTGTGTGAAGGCCAAGATCATGTGGATCTTAATGATTTTGTCTATTGTTGGCCAACCAAGAGCCTGGTATCACCCCTTACTCACTAATTTACTCTCTCCCAACCCTTTTCCCTCCCTCGTCTCCACCCTCTAATCATTTTTTCTAACTCTACCACTACTCCTCTCCTCTTCTTCCCATTGTTCTCTCACACCCCTCCCTCTTCACTCGTCTTCCACCGTCTTTTTCTCCCCTCTTCTCCTTGTTCTCTTCCACTAATCTTTCCTTCTCTTTTCCTCCTTTCCCATCCCTTTCTCTCTCATTCTCTCACCCTCCTGTTCCCCTTCCCTCCCCCAACTACAACCCCATAATCTCCCCATCTCCCAGTTCTATTTTTTTTTCTCTAGCAATGTCGTCAAAAATTTCCTGAACAAACAATGCAGGGTATTAATACAAACATAAAAAAAAAACAGGCAAACAAAAGGGAAAAAAAAAACGCTAAAAAACACTATAAAACCCTATTCGGAGTAGCTTTCGGAGTTCGCCAACGTTTTTTTCGAATTCAGTGTTTTTGCCAACTTTTTTGTTAGTGCTCCAAATGCATCGAAACCAAATACAGATATACTAAAGCACATACATATTACAAGGGGGAAAAAAAACAATTCAGGGAAATATGACAGTTTCCAGGGTTGTCGGTGTTCGGGACGGGCCGAACGCCCGAACCCGAACGCCCGAACGTACGGGACCCCTTCGGAAGGCGTTCGGCCGTTCGGGCCGAACGCGGACCAAAAAAAAAACAAAAAAAACGAAGTTTTCAAAAAAATCTGAAAACCAACTATGTTATGGAGAAAAATAAACTAAACAACATTTGCCTGGGCACTGTATTCAAATTCTTTACCAAATTTGAATTAAAAATCAAATACAGAAAATAAACACTATGATAAAAATAAGAAAAAATAAAAAGAGCCTGAATTAAAATGAGTGACTGTGCCAGCACCTTTTCGACACCGCCATCTTTGCCAATTTTTAATTATTTTTTGGCATTGACAAATACCCTGAAACTTTACATATCCGTAATTTACATAATCAATAACTCATTAATTTTTTTGCAAAAAGTAATAAAATTTTTTAGCCCCGAAATAAAGTGAAAACAAAAAGTAAAAAGTGAAAAAAAAAACAAAATAGTGAGTGGGCGAGCACGTTTTGACACCCCCATCTTTGACGGTTTTTAATGTTTTTTTGGCTTAGCAGAATAGCTTCAAAATATATAGGCGTGTATATTACATCATAGAGAACTCACAAAAACAACTTCAGAAAAAAAAACTTATTTTTAGGCCCCGAAATGTTTTTTGGCGGGGGCCGAACCTGGAGGTGTTCGGCCCCCGAACGGGACCCCGAACGCCCGAACGTTCGCGGGCCAGCCTAGGCCCCCTCGAACGTTCGGTCAGGTAACCCTGACAGTTTCGATAAAAATTTCCCCAAAAATGACACCACCTGTTAACCATATGTCCAGTTTTTCGCCCCACCACCGCAAGCAATGTCGTCAAAAATTTCGCAAACAAACAATGCAGGCTCATAACACAAACATGTTACAATCTTGGTCATTTCCAAAGTGCAAATTCACAATTAAGGACAATGCCACCCAATTGCGAAAGAAATGAAAGCACTTGCAAAGAGATAAAGACCAGAGGACAGGATAAGAAGAAGAAGAAGATATGCACCAGCAAGACCAATGACAATTYCCCCCTTCTCTCTCCACCTTCCTCCTCCTCCTTCACTTCGCCAATCTTATTCTTCTCCCAACAATAGTAATAACAATGAATGGATGAACCAAAATCAATATCCGAAGTTCCCTCTTACTGTTGACTTAACAACAACAACAACAACAAGTCCACCATAGTTATGGCTTCCCTCCTTCAGCCTCCTCTCTCATGCATAGGCTATGGCGGACTAATGAGGGCCCTGCCCTCCTGTCCAAAGGACAACCCAAAGCAGCTATGGCGCTGCACTCCTGTCCAAAGGACAACCCAAAGCAGCTATGCTGCTGCTGACTGGTCTGCCACGCCTTACCCTGCCTCGAGCCTCCTTGGTGCAACACTACCCCAACTGGGGCCTTCCAGATGCAACGCCCAACAAGGTGATGAAGACGGTGTCCACCATAGCCAGGTAGGTGCCTAGCCACTCTCCTCCTTCGCCCCCTTCTTCCTCCTCCTCAAGCTGGACCGGTCGCCATAGCCAGGCTGAGCTCCAACTGCCCTTCACCTCTAAGCAGCGTTGTGCTCCAGCAGCATGTCGCCAATCCTTGCACACCGCAAATGAGGAAGAGTTCTTCGCTCTCCCTCGAGATATAGCGGCCTACTGGCCTCTTGGGTGGTGACTTCCTAGGCCGAGTGGCCTCCCAGCAACCGGTACCTCCTCCCTTTCGGAGGGAAACATCATTGCAGGCTCTGCTATCCTCCGTACACGCCCTAAACCCGGGCTACTTGGACTGGTACCGGCCTACCTCGATCCTACCGCTACTAGGCCTTTGAAAATGCCAACTTTTTGTCTTCTTCTGCTCGGCCTCCAGTACCCGACACTCCTACCACTGCTTGAGTGGTACCGGCCTACCTGCTACTCGAGTGTTTTCCCCGCTGCTCTAAGTGTCGCGGGCCTACCCCCGCTACTTGAGTGTTTTCCCCACTGCTCTAAGTGTCGCGGGCCTACCCCCGCTACTTGAGTGTTTTCCCCCCTGCAACCCTCAAAGTCACGGCCACAGGTAAGTACCGGCCCTGCGGGGTCTTTCAACCAACAAGTACCCTTGTGGGTCACACACACACTCAACCAACAAGCACTCAGACAGGCACGCAAACCAGCAGGCACGCACACACACACAGACATGGAAATCACAGCAGAATGCGGGAATCTCAGCAAGGCATTCATTCCAGCGGCAAATCCCAGAAATCAGCAGTGTTCTTTGTCTGTGTTTTGGCGGGTCATTACACTACCCCCCTCTCAAGAGCGAGGTCCCTTCGAGCGAGTAAGCGTAGATCAGAAAGAGGGATTTAGTAAGTCCGTGAGGAGTGAGTCTTGCAGAGAACTTAGCAGTCTGTCCATCAGCGATCTGTCGTTCATAAGCGTTCACAACACGGGGAGCGTTCTTTAGCAGCTCTTTTCGGTCGATCCAGAAGAATTCGGTCAACGGGTGGTAGAGGAAGTGAACCTTGTATTGTCTGTTCCTCCCTCTTCCTTCATGTGAAACAATTTTGTCTATCTCATGACCGCCATCGATAGGACGAGGTATCATAGGATCTCGGAAGGGAAAAGTCTCATCATCGATGTGTGGAAACAGGTTCAGAACCTGCCAAGGGCCATAATACAATGGAAGAAGCTTTCTTGATACGCCCTCTTCGTCAAAAAATTCAGACATTTTAACCCAGACATAGCTTCGTACTTCGAAGGTCCCTTCTTTGCGCGACTTGTTAGCATGTTTGATCATGGCATGCTTACGCTTGTTCATTGCTGCGATAGCAACTTTGAGCAAGCGTGCATACTTGGCATTGTAGCCAGGCATGTCGGGTGTCAGACCAGGTGACCGTTCTGGGAACAGATAGGAGAGAGGATTGCGCAACTGCCATCCGTATTGCAGTTGATTCGGTGTCACACCCGTTGCAGAGTGAATGGAGTTGTTGTACAACCCCTTCACTTTGTGTAACTCCTTGTCCCATGTGTTCTGATCTGGAACAATTAACGCGCGAAGTAGTTGGATGACAGTCTGGTTGATTTCCTCAGCCAATCCATTGGCTTCGGGGTGTCGACCAGAAGTCTTGTTGAGTTTAATGTCGTAGATCTGAAAAGTGAAGTCCTTCCAATCTTTGCTAATGAATCTGGTGTCCCGATCACTCACAATAGTTTTCGGGTGGCCAAACTGCAGAATATACTGTTGATGAAATTCTTCGATGACAAGCTCACCTGGGGCATGCGGAGGGAAAGGAATCAAGTTCAGAAATTTGGTCCACTATGACCATGACTTGTAAATTCCCTGCCTCACTCACCTTTCCCATGTCCGTGAAGTCGATGGAAATCGACTCACCGGGTCCATCAGGAATGGGGAGGGGCTTCGGCAGGCCATAAGGCTTATGCCTATGGACCTTGGTCCTTTGACAAACCTGACATTCAGCAATAAATTTCTGAGCAGATCCTTTCATTCCCGGCCAATCAAACTGCTGCAGAAGACTTTCATAAGTCTTCTCAAAGCCGAAATGTCCACTCCGACCATGTGCCAAATCCAAGAAATGAGTTCGGAGAGGCGCATGGTTGGGTACACACAAACGATCAAACTTCCCATACCAGCGGAATACAAGACCCTCGCACTCATGAAAATCAGGTTGACTGCTAGGGTCAGCCTTGAACTGCTCAAGGATGGGACTAAGATCCGGATCCTTGGCGGTGTGTTCGACCAGATCCTCCTTCAGTTTCCTTCGGAGGTCATACGAACCCACAAGGCAAGTCAAAAACTCATGATGGCGTGATAGAGCATCAACAACACAGTTATAATAGCCTTTCTTGTGTTTTAATTCAAAACTATAAACATCAATGTCATGCAACCAGCGGGTCAGTGTAGGAGAGAGATCAGTTTGTGTCTGAATCCACTGCAAGGTCTAATGATCTGAGTAGACCTTGAAGTGACGACCCAAGAGGTAGTGCTTCCAATGTGCGAGCGCCTCGTGCAAGGCGTAGAGCTCACGCATATACGTGGAGGTAGCTACCTTGTGGCTGGGCATGCGTTTGCTGTAATACTCGAGCGGACGCAGACCATTATCATCATCTTGTTGCAGCACTGCACCAATCCCAAACTGGCTCGCGTCCGTAGTGATTACGAATGTGAGGTTGGGATCTAATGCGGAGCACAGGATGACTCATCAATGCCTCTTTCAAGGCTTGGAACGCAGTCTCACATTTCTCACACCACGCATAGGCAACATTCTTACTTGTTAGTCTCGAGAGTGGGTGAGCAATGACATAAAATTTGGGCACAAACTTCCGGTAATCTGAGGCCAGACCAAGAAAAGAACGCAGTTCACGTACGTTCGCTGGTTGAGGCCATTTTCGTATGACCTCAATCTTGGTTGCCTCCCGCTCAAGGCCGTTTGCAGACAGCCGGTGCCCAAGATAGATGACGCTGTCCCTACCAAACTCAGATTTCTCTAAGTTGAGGTGCAGTTGTGCCTCCTTGAGGACTTGCCAAACCTCCTCAAGGTGCTTGACGTGCTCTTCCATGGACTTGTTGAAAATCAGGATATCGTCAAGGAACACAACCACAAACCTGTTGAGCTGATGGCGGAGTACCTTGTCCATGAGGCACTGAAATGTGGTCGGTGCATCCGTAAGACCGAAGGGCATAACGATGAATTCGTCCAGCCCATCGTGTGTTTTGAATGCAGTTTTGTGTTGGTCACTCGGATCAACATCAATTTGGTGGTAGCCAGACTTGAGGTCGATTTTGGAGAAGACCTTGCACCCACCTGCCGCATCTAGCAGATCATCTATGCGAGGCAAAGGGTGAGCATTCTTTCTAGTGATCCAATTCAAGCCACGATAGTCAATACACATTCAGAGTTTGCCTCCTTTCTTCGGTACAAACAAGACAGGTGCACCGAACTCGGACTCACTAGGCCTAATCCATCCACGATCGATCATGTCATCAATTTGTCTCCTCAACTCCTCCAACTCGCCCTGTCCCATATGGTAGACGCAGCCCTTTGGAGGGACACTCCCTTCTATTATCTCGATCTTGTGTTTGACGCGACGCTCGGGGACTCCACGAGATTCGGCCAAAACTTCAGGGAATCGATCTAATAGACGGTGAATGTTGGTTGGGACTCGGTGGAGGATCATCCTCATCAGGAGAAAGAAAATCAGATCGAGGATTTACATTAATTACAACTGGATTCGAAGTACTTGGATCAGAAGTAGAGTGATTATTCACAGTAGAAGTAGATGAAATAGAAGTAGAGGTGGTAGAAGTAGATTTACCTTCCGAGGTAGAAAATGCAGCAAAAGTAGAAGGCACATGGAGAGGCTTTACAAGAGCTATATGTACATGCTCAGCTTCCTTGCGCTTGCGCACTGATTTGCAGAATTTGTTCGCACTCAAAAGAGCCTTTAACCAAAAAAACGGTACGCTCGTTCCCCTTGGCCTCACGCACCACGAACTGATTATCCGCCCACGTGATCCTTAGGCAATGAGCCTTTAACCAGCCCAAACCAATGACCGCGTCGAACGGACACTTGTCCATGACATAAAAGTTCAGCTCATGTGTGACAGTGCGATCTTTGTCAAAAGTGACGCGCACACCTTTGACAGCATGTGTTGAGGTGACAACCTCTTGGTTGCCCACCTGGGTCTGACAAGGGTTCTGCAACTCCACTTGCTTCATTCCCAGACCCGCCTTACGAATCCCGTTAGGAGAAAAGAAATTGGTTGTTGAGCCACTATCAATCAGCACACGGATGTATCGACGGTTAATGAGCAGCTTAAGGAAGGTTAGCTCCACACTCCCTTGAACACGGCGTTGCTGCTTGAGCTGCAGCCAATGTTCCAAGTGAGTGTGGAAGTCAACTTCCTTAGATTCCTCCCAAGGCTCACTGTACAGTACTTGGACTGCAGCAGCCTTGGATTCAACGTCGTTCCGGGCTTCAAGAGTAGGTTGTTGATCAGCTTCAGGCTCATTGGAGTGACCTGCAACTGATGGTTCAGCTTCCCTTGTTGTAGAGAGTGTTGGCGACTCTTCTACGCCCTTTGCTTGTTTCCCTGCAGACGATAACAGTCCTGCACAGCATGCCCAGGCTTTTGACAATGCAAGCATACACGCAGTTTGGATCTTCTTTCCCATTCTTTCTGACTGATACGGAGGGCTTTCCAAGGCTTGGTAGAAGGGTCCTCCGGCTTCTCAGGGATTTTCGCATTCTTGGGGAGGTGTGCAATAGTTCCCCTACCCGAACCACGGTTAGGCCCCTTGCTTGAAGCAGTCTTTTTGAAAGCATTAAGTTTTTCATCTTCATTCACATCAGACTCAATGGCTGATGTAGAACAACCCATATCGGAGTTCGGCTCAAGATCGTCATCTAGAGACAGATCATCCGCGTAGGACTGATCTTCAGCCTCCCGATTTTCATGCAGGGCAAGCTGGTTGCTGCTTCCATACTGCTTGCGTTGTGATTTTCCACCTCCAGCGGGTGCCTTTTTACGCCTGGCGAGGTCCTTGGCCTCTAGGTTGACTAGATCCATCAATAGCTCTCGCCAAGTGGTATGGTCTTTGAGTCCTAGCAGGGAGAGGTATTCTTTAGGGGCCACTCCCATGACTACATCCATGCAAGACACGCCGGTCATTCCCAGGTCTCGAGTGGTGAACAAACCAGTCAAGTGCTGTTCCAAAGCCTGCATGGAGGTCCTCCATGTTTGGCCCTTGAGGGCCTCAAGCTTCAGCCTTGCCTTGAGCGCAGCGTGCTTATCTTGGTACCGTGTGATGAGGTCCTCAAGAGTGCGTACAGGAGTTACTTTCAGCCACTCATTCAGGTCAATTCTCTCATAACCTGCTGTAACAGCTTGGAGTTCAATGAAATTTCGTACGGCGGGCTCGGTATTAGTACCCATGATCATGCTTCGGTCTTCCGGTGATGTCCGCATCACCTCGAAGTATGAGCACATGGAGCTAATCCAAGAGGTGATGTCCCCTTTCTCGTCGTACTCGGACGACAGAGTGGTCGCCCGCTTGTCCACTACGGGACCGCTGTACTGTACGCCAGTAAGAACTGTGATGTTTTGAGCTGAAGTTCCTGCATTTGGGATGATGACTAGTGCAAAACTGTCGGCGCTGCCGCTTGAGGAGCTGGCACCGGTTCCTGCGCTAGTCAAAGTTTCGCTTGCTCTTGTCATGAGGACTGTGTTAGATTGAGAGACTGGGACTTCAGCAGGTCGAGTGTTAGGAGGACGGGGGGCAAACAATTGGGATTGTTTGAGGCTGAGTATCTCAGCCTGCAGCTCTTCGTTCTGTTGTTCCAGTGCTGTCACACGGGACTAAAGGTCCTCCAAGGTCCGTAGTCGAACCAAGGCTGCTATGGCAGCGGCTAGCCTCTCTTGGAACCGGTCAACATTCGCTTCCGGGACCTGAAGGAAGGCCACTTGTTCAGCAATGCTTGGGACTCTGGCTGCTGCCTCTGCCTCCCTTTCCCTCTGTACGGCATCGTCATAAAGCTTTTGGAAGAACGGTTTCTCGTTCTCGTCTGCTGCGTCCAGCATGGCCCGCCATTGGGCAGATGTGATGCCTGCCATGCCGGAGGAAGGGGTGTTAGTAGATCTCTCAAGCGGGGTCTGCTCTCTCCTCACGTTCGGACGAACACTCCTCTTGCCCTTCCTCACACTCTCAAAAAGAACATCTCTCTCCCTTCTCTCTCTTCCCGCTGTCTGCGCACGCGTGTCAATACCGGACATAGATAGTTCAGATGAAAGAAACAAACAGTAAATCACATAGAGTAGAAGGTAGAACTCCTAGCCGGAGCGACAATTCATTTGGACTTAGAGAATGGCACGCAACAGAATAAAAAATAATAATAACTAGCTTAGCGCCCGCGGTGCGGGCGGTGCGGGCAATGCCCGCACGTAAAAGAGCAGAGACGCTAGTCAATCATAAACATTGTGTCAAGATCTTGACTCACCATCCACCAAACCCGCACCGGGCCGCTAAGAAGTGCGCATGAATGTTTTGATTTTTATATATACTAAGGAATATATGTATTTTTTTTATAATTCAAGTGGCG